TTATACTTTGCCTCCGCTAATCTATAGAATCTATAGTATCTATAGGTATTAGCTACAATCAATACGAAACTAACGATTTTAAATTGGCTCACTACTTGACTAGCCGACCAATAGGCAAACAATTAACGTACCCCATTCTAGTAGAAATTCTAGTACTACACAATGTTTGTTTTGATTTGCTATACAAGTTTGACAGATAAATGAGGGGTTAGTGGATTTTCCAAAGTTTCGAGGAGTGAATCGAATAGCTTGAGACCGAAGAGAGTACCAGAGCTGAGCCAAAAAGTTGAGCACATTTCTTAGGGACCTGCTGGTCTTAGAGTTACCACTATGGTATTAGTAAAATTATTATCATGGACCAAAGAAGTAAATTAAGGCTCAAGATTATGGAAACACCATAAAAACTCCACGAGAATTATATAACTAGGCAGTTGAACTAACAGATAAAAATATCACAAAACTACGTTTCGAGTACACATCCACTGAACAGTACATCGAAATGTCAGAAGTACTCGAAGAACTATTTAATAGCACAAAGACAATATCTGGCACAGTGTTGGGAAAATATCAAAAAATCAAATCTCACCAACGCCCAAGATCATGCTTGATTTTCGTAGACAAAAATCAACAAGCAAACAACTGCGGTTGATTTTGCAAGCTGTGATATCGCAGCTCGGAATATCAAGCTAACAAAACTCATCAGCTGCAATTTTCAACAAACTGTGGTGAGATTGTGTTTCATGAATTTTGCTTTACACCCGAATGTAACCGAAACTTCCATAACGGCTGGCAGCAGTCGCTTCGTGTCTTCCATCGGTGAAGAGTAAAAAGAGATAGCAAACTATACTTTCTCTTTCTAAGAAAACGATGTGCAAATATTTGCCAAATAGACTTTTCCCCATCAATCTAGATTTAGACAACAATAGTCCGGATGAAGAGAATAACAAATAAATAAATAGATAGAGAGCTGAAAAAATGACAGCTTTTGTAAACAATGGCTTCTTTCGATGATTTCTGGTAATGTTGGTTTAAGTGGGCGACGAAATCATCTACACGGTAACCCCAAAATACCTAATAATGACTACAAAGTAAGCATTTTCGAGGGAAACTGGGACTACCCATTAAATGAGTAAAATTTAACCCATTTATGAGTAGTTACAATTACAAAAATGAGTAGTCAGTATTGATGTATGAGTTACAAATACTCATAAATCGGTAAATTGTTTACTCATTTAATGGGTAGTCCCAGTTTCCCTCGAAAATGCTTACTTTGTAGTCAATATTGAGTCTTTAATCACAGACAAACAGACGTAACTCTTCATTGTGTATCTTTTTTTTCATCACGCATTTAACGGTTGATTTGAATATTACACTAGTTTACAAAACAACATAAAAAGCGTGAACTTTAGTGGTTGACCAACGTTTCTAATGCAAAATCCTACGCTGAATTCAATGCCGTGGTCAGAAAAAATTAAAGTAGAGCCATTTTTGAGATATACAAAAATTTTGATTTTTTGAATTTTAGACAAAAGTACGATTACTAAAATGTCAATATCTTTGGAACTAGTGCACCAATTTTAAATATTTTTTTATGGAAGTGAAGCTAAATAAATTTGCTATCGTTCACTAGAATATTATGTCTTAATTAAAAATTTAATTTTGAAGTCATTTAAAAACTTACAGCATTTTTTTTTTTATTTTTCCTGCGAATTTTCCATAAAAATCTTGTTTTAATCAACATTTTTTATGGGATAAAAAGATTAAAAAAGCCGTTCCATAATTTATTCTTAAAGTCCATTAAAAACTAGAGAAAATGAGCCTTTAATGGATGAAATCGGTTGGAAATTGTCGAAGTTATGAAAATTTTTGTAAAATCATGGAAATTGAATGTTCCAAGATTGGCCGTTGTCCCGCTCCTAGGTTCATGCACCACTTCCAGTAAGCCTTTCTGCGGACGTGTACGCATACGGTGCATTTCACTAACACTACCAGCTGTCACGCAAAATTAAATGGGATATTTTCAACAATATAATTTACGCTAGTGTTTGTGAGACCGCTCGGCGAGAACCTAACGCAGCCAACTCAATTTGACAGCTTTCTTTCTTTAACATTGCTTAACGATGTATACGACAAAACGTGAATTCAAGTGTAAAAATGATCCTCAAAAGTTTTGTTACGCGTGTGGCAACTATATATTTACAAAATCGGTCAATTTCACTGCTTCGTTGCAAACTGCATACAGGCTTTATTTTAAAATTGATCCTGGAGACTTTGACGAACCGTGGATTTCAAAAGTATTATGTAGTTCATGCAAAACGTGCTTGGCTAGGGGGATGTCAGGCGCAAGGTAAATTGATTTTTTGAATAACTTTCATATAAACAATTTATGTACAGCATGGTAGTGCTTTGTTCTTTCCTGATCGACATTATCTTACTTCATCTATTTTTGATAAGTGTTAATGTCTTACTTACTAACTCACTTATATGTTATCTGTCAGTCGCTATTTGTCCTTTGACATGCCCACCATATGGCGTCGACCGTTTTGTCATGCAACGGATTGTTATTTCTGCTTGACAAAAGTTAAGCAACAAGGACGTCACAAAACAGTTGAGTATCCACAAGTGGCTTCTATGACAAAACCTGTTCCACATTCAAGTTCGGTCCCGTATCCTGTTTATCCAAAGCGGAAACGAGCGCCCTCTGTTGAATCGACCGTTACAAAAAGTGAGGAGGAATTCAAGGAGGAATGCGAGGAAGACTTCGAGGTGGAATTGGAAAGAAACCCAAATCTGTTTACACAATCCGAATTTAATGATTTGGTGCGAGATCTCGACTTATCGAAGGAAAATCCGAATTGCTGGCATCACGCTTGAAAGAACACAACATGCTGAGCAAGGAGGTCAAAATTTCTTGTCACAGGAATCGTCACAAGAAATTTGACAAATATTATTCTACAAAGGACAAGGCATGTTTTTGCCATGACGTAAACGGCTTGTTTGAAGAGTTTGGTGAGCCATATGATCCAGCTGAATGGCGTTTATTCATCGATAGCAGCAAGTTGAGCTTGAAAGCCGTTTTACCAACAATCAATACGAAACTAACGATTTTAAATTGGCTCACCACTTTAGTAGCCTATTGGTCCCAAGCAAACGATTAACGTACCCTATTCTAGTTGAAATTCTATAACTACACTATGTTTGTTTTGATTCGCTATGAAAGTTTGACAGGTAACATCAGGGGTGTGTGGATTCATGCAGAACATGCAGGGGTGAGTGAAATAGCTTGGGACTGCTTGGGACCGTTGTTCTGGTACTGAGTGAGCCAAAAATAATAATGATTTTCTTCGGGACCCAGTGGTCTTAGAGTTTCCTCTATGGTTTTACTGCATCAAGGGAATGAGAAACCTTCTATTCCATTAGCTCATGCCGTTAATATGAAGGAAACGTATGAATCAATGGCTCTATTGCTCAATTCGATAAATTACAATCAACACAATTGGAAAATGCATGAACCTAGGAGCGGGACAACGGCCAATCTTGGAACATTCAATTTCCATGATTTTACAAAAAATTTCATAACTTCGACAATTTCCAACCGATTTCATCCATTAAAGGCTCATTCTCTCCAGTTTTTAATGGAATTTAAGAATAAATTATGGAATGATTTTTTGAATCTTTTTATCCCATTAAAAATGTTGATTAAAACAAGATTTTTATGGAAAATTCGCAGGAAAAATAAAAAAAATGCTGTAAATTTTTAAATGACTTCAAAATTAAATTTTTAATTAAGACATAATATTCAAGTGAACGATAGCAAATTTATTTAGCTTCATTTTCATAAAAAAAGATTTACAATTGGTGCACTAGTTCCAAAGATATTGACATTTTAGTAATCGTACTTTTGTCCAAAATTCAAAAAATCAAAATTTTTGTATATCTCAAAAATGGCTCTACTTTAATTTTTTCTGACCACGGCATTGAATTTAGCGTAGGATTTTGCATTGGAAATGATCATCACCTTACCGAGTTCAAAAATGCTGTAAACTAGTGTTATCAGTTCCGCGAAATACTCGCCGCAGCGCTGGCATCGGATCACTTTGACGTTTCTATACATTCTATAGAACTTTTATGCAATATTGTTTGCGAGTTAGCGAGCAAGCTTGTTTTCCGCGAGAAGCCTGAAAGATGTCGCTACTGAGGTCCTATGTTTTGAGATACTATGTTTTCAAGAAAAACTTTTTCAAAGAGTTACGTCTGTTTGTCTGTGCTTTAATAGTCCTTGATTTGATTTCCGACGATCTTTTTTTCCATACTGAGTACCAATGCTACCGACGCCAGGGAGGCAGCTCCCACACCTGGACCCTACCTATCGACCCATCAGCTCATGAACCGGGAACCAACGGCTTTATTTCCCTTCCGAAGGAAGGTGTGATCAGATATGTTATGCCTCCCGGCGGCGTCGCTTGGGATTGAACCCAGGCCTGCTGGGGTGAGAGGCAATCACGCTTACCACTACACCACCGGTGCCGCTTGAGTCTTTAATAGTCATTTGGTACAAACAACGTAAATATTTACCTTTTTTTTTGAGAGTTGGAGGCGAACCAGCCCCAGGCTGAAAGCCTCCCTAATAAAGATAAATCAATCAATCAACCTTTTTTGAGAAAACCCAGGTAATCATGACGTTTGATTATTGAAAACAATATGAATGAAGAAAAGAGACCAACTGCTGTCATGATTACCTGAGATTTATCAAATAATGTAAATATTTACATCGATTGTATCGAAGAATTGGATATCTTGCAATTACCGTGTAGTGTAGAAAATGCATTGCTTACAAAAGCTGTTACACCCTTTTTTCAGCTCTGTATTGATTTGACGAAAGATTTCATTGAGGTATGTTCCTAAAAGGTAAAAAGGTATGTTCCTAAAAGGTAAAAAGGTATGTTCCTTCAAAATCTCTCGATGCATTAAATAGAAATAAGGACGTGTCATCTGATTTATACAACTGGAAAGTATTTTTTCGCAACCTCTTTCATCGCACATTGTTTCTACGCCTAAGTTGTAATACACAAACTTACGATCAACAATTTCACAGGCATCATCTCGCACAAGAGATGGAATGGACACTACATAACTATTACTCTCTTACAAACTAACCGCTTTTGTAAACTCGTTCACTCTGCTCGATTGGAAACAAAGAAAAATTGAATATAGAATATTCATTTCGTTACAATCAGAAACTAAAACAGTCGAATGTGACTTTTGGTGGTGTAAAACGTACAAATGCAACGATGCGGCAAAATGAAATAAAAGTGATGGCTAATTGACGCTTCCATTCTCACTAAATCAGATCACGCAAAATCACACCACACTGGCTCTTACACCAATGGATAACTGGCGCAGGAGGCAATACCGCAGTGATTTTCACGGTTACGGGCCATCTTTACGTATCCCTGGTCACCCCAGGTAGTACCCCAGGAGTTCTTAACCAACCAGTAGTCTTGGCCTTCTTCGTCCGTACCGTATCCAACGGCTAGAACCTGTATGTTGAGTGAAAAAGATCGGATTCGTTTTAATGCCGGTACTGCTCTGTAATGCTACAGATAGGGATACTTACACCATGGTCCAGATTTTCCGAATCACATTGCGGTTCGTAGTACACACCCTCCGAGTAGAACTGGAACGATTCGTGCGATGCATCAATGGCAACAGACACGGGGCCAACGGTAGCGAGGGCCTTCTGCAGAGCTGCTTCGTCTCCCTGGGGAATATCGACGAAGCCCTTATCGGTAGCACCGACGGCCTTTGGATTGTAGTGGCAAGTGTCGTCGATGGCCTCGTACGGGTAGGCCTTCTCCGTATCGATTCCACCGTTATCCTTGATGTACTGGAAGGCAAAGTCCATCATTCCACCGTTGCAGCCATTGTTGCCGTACTTGCCGGAACAATCGACCAGGTTCTGCTCCGACAGGGAGACCAATTTACCGGTTTTGCGGAAATGTTGTCCTTCGAGAGCACCGGTGGCCGAGAACGACCAGCACGAACCGCAGTGACCTGAGGGAGGAAGAATGGAACATGTTGAAAATCGACCGAGCACTGTGTGTGGAGTCTTATCTCGCATATTGTAATAATAACGTCTCAGTTAAATGTGCAACCGTAAACAGAATCAGAGGAAATGCAGTGAGCAGTTGGGTTGACCGGCGCGGCGTAATTCACTCATGACAAATAGAGGCAAATGTTTTGATTACATTTCAATAACATAACACGATCCGAAAGGAACAAGGAGTTGATAATGTTATGAGAACAACCCAACGGAAGAGCTGATTTGCGTACAATAATGAATTGATATTTCATCGATTATGAAAAAATCGCTAGCTCAAAAACGAATCTTTAACAATGATGCACAGAAGTATTTGCATTTACCTTGGTCCTTGATTGGAGTTACAGCGCCTTTTTTCCTCCAGTCGACTGTCGTGGGAATTTCAACGTTAGCGGGCTCGATGAAGGTCACTGGTTCCTCGATTCTAACGCCCTTGAGCATTTTCCTGAAACGGAAGAAAGTGATGAATCGGTGGAATAGCATAACACAAGCAAAGCCGCATTGCATGAACAACACATAAATAAGTGACGGCGAACCCGTTGTAATGGGATTATGCTGCCATGAATCATTCATCGTTGCCACTTGCTGATACTTGAAAGTCTCGCGCGCGGAAACGTCGTCAATGTCATTGAGAACAATTTTGCTAAATTGCACTTATTCATAATAACTGTCGCTTAGGGACCATCCACTAATGATGTAGCATATGTTTCACCCTCGTAGCGTATTTTGCTGAACCTAACAGATGGCCGGTTACTACTTCTGTAGCCCCCCCCTCCTCCTCCATCAAATGCTACGTCATTTATGGATGGACCTTATCTATGCTTTGCATCGGATCTCTCTCCCTCGATTAAACAAAGAAGACAAAGCGGTCGTTGTTGTTGATACTTACTTCGAGTCCGTGCGGTTGAATCCGTTCACCGTATGGACAAACTCCTCGTGCAGCAAATCGGCATACTTGTTGACGCGCAGGCGATACCTTTCCTGGCCCAGATCAAATCGCTGGTTGTGCTTGGCAATTTTGTGCTTGTTCTGGACGTAGATCTTCAGGCGTATCCGCTCCTCGGTTTCGCTATCGTACTTCTTGCGATGCTGGAGCTGTGGATGGAGAGGAATAGGAACAGTTTTGATGAGAATGTTTAAGAGATTTAAATTTTCTTTTTCGCAGGTTCATTTTGACTTTACATGATTAAGATGATTTTGGATGATCATCCCATGAATGATCTAAAATGTGTTTAAAGTGTCTTTGACTTTTAGCCAGATAAATCCGACGAAGCTTGTTTAGCTTGTCTCTGAGAGGACGGTTACCCAAATGAGTCAAACAAAAGTAAATTTCTTATTACTAATGTAAGCTCCTTTGGCAGTTGATCAAACAAAATAATCGTTTTTATAAAATTCTTTGTCAGCTGCCATCTTTATCAATTATTAAAAAGTCGTTCGACTGCTCAAATAACAGCTCAGACGTATGAAATGCAATAGATCCATTCAATGAGACCACGAAACAGATTCCAAGTAATTGCAATGCTAATTTGAATGTATTATAGCAAAAATGAGCGTCACTTTTTTGTCACTTAGTGGCGAGTCACGTGACTGGAGGGAACGATTATGAGCGTCACTTGTTTAGCAAGAAGGATTCATTACTCTCCATAAATGCACATTTATGCGAAGTTAATCACTTCAAGTAAGTATTTTGTTCGAAAATGTTAATGAAGAAATCGAATAAAACCATTCAATAAGCAATTTTGTCTATAAAACGTTTTTTGTTTTCATCTGTTAACTTGTCTTTGGTGGATGGTGGTGTGGGTAATGGCTGGTTACAGTTCAGAAAATCAGCTTCAGATCAAAGATGAACTGGCAAAATTACTTGGAGTTGTGCCACTCCAAGTAATCAAAATGAAAATGAAATCCCGTCCTGGCGATTCGCGCAACGGGATTTCTAATGATTTTTATTTAGTTCACTTCAAGTCTAGTGAACTAAACAACCTTAAGGCATTAGAAAAAGCTAGCCTTATGCTCCATGTCCGAGTGAAGTGGGAACACTTCAGGAAGACTGGAGGAAATTTCCAAAACCTCACTCAGTGCCGTAAGTGCCAGGGATGGGGTCACGGAACTAAAAATTGCTACATGACAGCTAAATGCAAAAAAAATTGATGTCCTGTGAAGGAAGATCCACAATGAAAACCACAAATCCCATTTTTGGGAATGTAAGACTCGCAAAGCGATCCTACAATCTCGTTCTAACCGACAGGTAAGAAACGCTCCACGTTTCCGACCAGGTACAAATTCCTCTGCTGTTAACAACGGTCAGCGAGGAACAAATTCTACATTCGTACCCGTAGGTACAAATATCACCCCTGCTTCAAATGTTTCATCTGTACCTACTCCCCTCGCTGCTAACAATGTTCAGCGAGTTAATGGAGCTACCTATGCTGCTATTGCAACGGGTAGAAATCAAAATACTAACCAACGTTCTAAAGGAAATTTTGACAATTTTGACTTAGGAAGCATTACTGCCCCTAAAATGGAATTTTTGCAGAATTTATTAATTGACATGATTTCTGATATGCTTAAATCTAACTCCATGTTTGATGCTATTCAAACTGGAGTAAAATTTGCTAATAATATTGTCAGGACTTTAAAATTCAGTAATGGATTTTAAAGCATTAAACATTTTAAATTGGAATGCTCGATCTCTTAAAGATAATGAAGACGAGCTATTTAACTTTTTGAGAGTTCATAACGTGCATATTGCCGTTATAACTGAAACGTTCCTTAAACCTGACCATAAGGTTAAGAAGGACTCAAATTATTTAATTTATAGAAATGATCGTCTTGATGGACCCTGTGGTGGCGTTGCCATCATTATTCATAGACGAATCAAACATAAAATTCTTTCTTCATTTGAAACCAAAGTTTTTGAAACTTTGCGAGTTTCTGTTGAAACCAAATTTGGACAACTTACGTTTATAGCTACCTATTTGCCATTCCAATGCGTAGGCCAGCAAAAGAATTTTCTCAAGGGTGACCTCCAGAAACTTACCAGTCATAGGTCTAAATTCTTCATTATTGGTGATTTTAATGCAAAACACCGCACATGGAATAATGCTCAAAGTAATTCCAATGGTAATATTCTGTTTGATGATTGTTCTGCAGGTTATTACACTATTCAATATCCAAACAGCCCAACATGCTTTTCTTCTGCAAGAAATCCCTCCACTATTGATTTGGTCTTAACTGATTCATGTCAACTTTGTAGCCAATTGGTTACCCATGCTGACTTCGGTTCTGATCACCTTCCAGGAACTTTTGAAATATCCCAAGAAATAATTTGTAATCCCAACAGCTCTATTTTCAATTACCATAGAGCTGATTGTGAGCATAAAGGGTGATACGGTCAAAATTTGGTCAAGGGAAAACGCGTGTAAATCGGTGAAATCGTTTATTTAAAAAATCAAATTAAATTTCTTTTTCAAGTTCAATTAGTATAAAATTCAGGAAAAATATTCAGTTAGGCTTCCGCTTTTCCAAATCCGAATTGCCGGGCCTTACGCTTGACCCCTGCCATCAGATTTTGTACAGCCACCTTGTCCACCTTCTTCGCCGCAGAAAGCCAGTTTGCCTTGAACTGCTGCTCGCTCTTAGCATTTTTTTTGGTCTTCTTTAGGTTCCGCTTGACAATAGCCCAGTATTTCTCAATTGGGCGGAGCTCTGGCGTGTTGGGAGGGTTCTTGTCCTTGGGAACCACCTGCACGTTGTTGGCGGCGTACCACTCCATGGCCTTTTTACCGTAATGGCAAGATGCCAAATCCGGCCAAAACAGTACGGAACAACCGTGTTTCTTCAGGAAAGGCAGCAGACGTTTATTCAAACACTCTTTCACGTAAATTTCTTGGTTGACAGTCCCGGAAGCTATGAAAATGCTGCTTTTCAAGCCACAGGTACAGATGGCTTGCCAAACCAGATATTTCTTTGCGAACTTTGACAGTTTCATGTGCTTGAAAACATCTGCTACCTTTCCCCTTCCTTTTGCCGTATAAAACTCCTGTCCCGGAAGCTGCTTGTAGTCGGCTTTGACGTAGGTTTCGTCGTCCATTACCACGCAGTCAAACTTCGTCAGCATCGTCGTGTACACCCTCCGGGATCGCGCTTTGGCCGTCGTATTTTGTTTATCATCGCGATTTGGAGTCACTACCTTCTTGTAAGTCGATAGTCCGGCTCGTTTTTTGGCTCGATGCACGGTTGTAGACGATACACCCAGCTTATTTGCGGCATCTCGGAGAGAGAGGTTAGGGTTTCGCTTGAAACTACCGGCAACTCTCTTTGTCGTCTCAGCGGCTTCCGGTTTTCGATTTCCCCCCGATCCAGACTTCCTGGCTGTCGACAAACGTTCCCCAAACACTTTAATTACATTTGTAACGGTTGATTTGGCAACTTTTAGCGATTTTGCCAACTTTGCGTGCGAGTAGCTCGGATTTTCGCGATGCGCGAGCAAAATTTTGATACGCTGCTCTTCTTGCTTGGACGGCATTTTGACAACTGAAGAGTGAATTCCAAAATCAAAATAGGAGCAACATTCTACACACACACACACCTTCAAAATGAGGGGTGTTCAGGTTTTTTAAATGCAAAATTGAAAGAAATACGTCAAGTTGATATTGACCAAATTTTGACCGTATCACCCTTTAATCGAACATTTATGGAATATAACTTCGATCCAAACATTCCTTTGCAAACCAAAGATGAAATTAATTATGCTCTTGAATCTCTGACTACTTCTATAGTTGCAGCAAGAGCTGCCTCAGTACCAAAATGCGAGGTTAAATTCGATTCAATTATAATAGACGATGATCTTCAGCTCTTGATCCGTCTTAAGGGGAAGCTCACCGCTCCGAAAAAAATAATTACGTTTTGATTTTTCTAAAAATATTGGAAAAAGATATCAAAATTTTAAGAAAATCACATATTTTTTAATTTTTCAAAGAAAATTCACGTTCAAAAACATTTTTTATAAGTCATTATGGCATAAAGTTGGACTCAAAAAACCACAAAACATCGACTTTTCGGTTTTGCTGAGAGTCCAATTTTTTTTTCATGATGAGATAGAAAAAAAATTTTACATGTAATTTTTCAGAGTTGGTTGGAAATGCTAACATGAAGCTTTAGTGTGATGATTTATTAGCTAGAGAATGATCTTTAGAAGAATGTAGGTGGATAGTTCCGTTAGAGTACGGCAGTATGAAAATTGAATAGAAGTTGAAAATGAGCGAAGGGCCATTAAAGCGACAGTTTTCAAGATGACGCACATTTTTGCCTAGCCCCTAGCCACAGGCCTGTGGACTTGGAGACATACTTCAAGTCCCCGCGTACATCGTACGGGCTAGGCAAAAATGTGCGTCATCTTGAAAACTGTCGCTTTAATGGCCCTTCGCTCATTTTCAACTTCTATTCAATTTTCATACTGCCGTACTCTAACGGAACTATCCACCTACATTCTTCTAAAGATCATTCTCTAGCTAATAAATCATCACACTAAAGCTTCATGTTAGCATTTCCAACCAACTCTGAAAATCGTTAACTTCGCGTATGAAGTAACATAAAAAACACTTTGAATGTAATTTTTGACAAAAATCTAAGGAACAAACTGATTTTCTTTGATTTTTGATATTTTTTCCCAATATTTTTAAAGAAATAAAAATATACCGAAAATATTTTTTCGGGCCGGTAAGCTTCCCCTTAAAAATGTCCGTAGGAGACAATATCAAAGAACACGCGATCCTGCCATGAAAGTTATCTGGCGGGATTTACAAAAACAAATTAAAAACTGATTATCTGCCCTGAGGAACAAAACTTTTGAAAATAATGTTTCTAAATTAGACCCGAGTTCCAAACCCTTTTGGAAACTCACAAAAATTTTGAAAAAACCTCAAAAGCCTATTCCAGCGCTTAAAGAAGGTGGTAAAATTTTGATCACAAATTTGGAAAAAGCTCAGAAACTTGCTAAGCAATTCGAGAGTTCCCATAATTTCAGTTTGGGTCTTACTAGTCCTATTGAGAATCAGGTTGCTCGGGATTTTCTGAATATTTTCTCTCGGGAAAAT